CTGAAAAAAAAAACAAGACTAAATGTGGTTCAAGCTGCCAAAAGAACGGCACATGTAATATCTTGTAGATAAGTAAGATATCAGAAGAACTGAGTGCTGAGTTTATAGCATGTGTACTGCACCCTTTTGTGATGTCAGGGTGAGATAATCTTAAAAAAAAGAAAAGTCAACCCTGACACTTCCTCTCATGTATTTCAGTGATATTTTGTCCTAAGAACTTTCTTACAATAGCACATAATCAACAACAGGAGAGAAGTCCCTCACCAGATATGTCTACAGGCATGGAGATGGTCCTGCTGAGAGTTGGAACCGTTGCTCCATCCTTCCCCTGTTCTCCTGTAAATACATCAAATGTGCAGCATTTATCAAGTTTTAAATGAACCTTCAACAATAACTTCAGTATCGTTTCGAGGAGTTAATATTTACAACTAACAGAGTCTTTCTAGATCTTTCCCCTACCTGTAACTTCACCCTTAACGGCAGCTTCCCGATACTCCTCGGGCACCGTCAGGCTGCCAAACCGCTTGCCGTGGCGGATGGGACTAGTGCGAGTAGGGTGCGGTGACTGAGGTGGCACGCGTGAGGGTTGCATTTCCTATAGAACAAGTGTGAGTGGTACGTGGATAACGTGTGTTTGTTTGTATATGTGGTGGGAGAGCAGAACATGAGACAAATTCAGTCACATTCAGTGACTGACTTCATAATAAAACCAGTATGTGTACTGAGTTAATGATGCTGAGTCTATGAGAAATGCCAAACCACATGAGCCACTGATGTCTGCATGTGTGTATCCGTGTGATAAACTCACATGACTGAAGAGCTCATTGGTGAGCCCCAGATAATTATGCAGGGCTAGGACTGTTACCCTTTGTAGACGAACCATGATAATCTGAAAGGATACAACAGGAAGTGAGCCATTTAACAGATCACATGCAAAATGACAGAAGACTTGATCAAAACCACTTCAGGTTAATGAGACTCTACATTTCTAGCCTACAGTAAAGGAAAACAAAACCCACAAATACACACTGTATGTGTGTGTGTGTTTGAATTAGGCTTTATATACTAAGCTTAATACTGGAATAAATATGGGAAAATAAAATACAGAGTCTAGAGATTCATCCACACATAACTCACCTGTACTACTCGCACCAGGCTCTCAGGGTACTTCTCAAATATAGAAAGGAAGGCCTCTACAGGTAAACGGAGAACAGTGGAAACCTCTGCAGCCCGTGCCGACACCGTTCTGTAAGGCCTCTGGTGGCCCTGGAAAACAGAAATTACACAGAAAACCTCAAGACATTTCACATTTTGTGATTCTATTTACAGAAGCTCTAAAGTGACTGACATCTCGGACTGCACTTCAAATCGAGAATGTGTGAATTATGTGTATGCATGTGCAATGGGTGAAGCCTGTGTTTGGCAAAAGGTTGGTGTGACTTACTGTGATGACATCCAGGATGCTGAGGAGGCTGTGCACACTGTCTCCTGGGTAAACCTCCTTCACCACACTTTCTTTGCCATCCTAAAACGCAAGAATATGGCAATACAACAATGTACACTAGTTTTACAGAAGATAAATCATTTAAGCACCTCAAAAGATTCGCTCCACATACATAAAATTCCCCTATAAATAGGATAAATGGCCATACGTTACCACACTTGAGCTTGCGTACCGTTTCAGTAAGGCACAGTTCTAATTTTCCATCCTGAACCACATAGATGCTGCTGTCAGGTTGGCCCGGCCTGAAGACGTACTCCCCTTGTTGGAACTGCAGAAACACCATGTGTTTGCACAGCTCCAGGAAGAGGGGCTTCTCAAAGTGACCCAGCACACTGCGGTGAAGGAAAGAAGTCAGGTTAGGGGGTTAGGAGGTGGACACACACCTGTGAGCAGGTGTGTGCATAGTTGGTTTGTACAAACGAGCATGGCACAGTTAATCTGATGGGGTAAGAAATCTGGGACTTTTTGTAAAATCTGATTACGAGCATAGCTATGCAGCCACTTGACAACACTTATGTCTGTAGGAGCAGTTCTCATGCTTCAGTATTTTATTGCTCATACAAATCAAGGCAGTAATGTACAGACACATTTGAGCCACACTGTCACAGTTACATAGACATCTCACAGAGGACAAACCTACCGGACATTTTTGAGCATGTAGAGCACCTCAGAGGGGAGGTGGGAGTTGGCCACATCAAATTCGGTGAGGTCTGCCTCAAGCACTGAGGGAGGGGGCTCCTTTGCCTGAAGGGTGGGCACCTCCTTCTTAAAGCGCAGGATTCTACACAAGACAAAAATAATGGGAAGGTGAGAGAAACTGGCTGTTCAAGACACCTACAGAAGATGGTGAGAACGAGATCTTTTATGTACTTTTTGGCAATGTTAAGCATCTTCTGCTTCTTCTTTAGGCGTGGACGAGAGGAGGATGACGTACCCACCAGGGAAGAGGTAGACTGGGATACCTGTTGGGAAACACATTGGTTATAATTGTGGCATTACATGGAAAGGCAGAGGAATGACATCATTTTCAGCCACACACTTTACGCATGATCTTTCGTCCATAGAACATGACTTTGTCCCTTTTGCGAAAACGGTATTTCGGTGCCTCCTGAGCTTCTAGGTCTGTGGAATAAGACAAATGACAAATTACAACAGATATACATGTGTTGTCATGTCTATCATTTCACGTTGTTAGTGCACGGTGAGAAAAGCATTGCAGCATTTACTGACTTCGAAGTTTGATCCTTCGCAAAATGAAGAAGATGAGGATGGCGATGAGGACTATGGCGATGCCCGCACCAATCACCATCCCCAACATCTGAAGGGGAAAAACAAATGAGGGAAAGGCCCCATTCAAATGAATGGGAAAATTCAACTTCTACATACATTCAGCTATTTCAGCTATCAAAATGTTCAGTTCTTCAAGGACATTCATGCTTTTCTTCAAACATTTTGTAAACTTCATACTTTTAAAATATTTAGTTTTATTTTGAAAATCTTTCCCCATTCAAATGAATGGGGAAATTTTTACTTCTGCATATCTTCAGCTATTTCAGCTATTAAAATGTTCAGCTCTTCAAGGACATTCATGCTTGTCTTCAGAATTTTTCTAAACTTCATACTTTTAAAGTATTTAGCTTTATTTTGAAAATCTTGCCCCATTCAAATGAATGGGAGAAATTCTACTTCAGCATACTTTCAGCTAACAAAACCATTTAGATGTCAAAATGTTCAGCATTTTCAGGGCGATCTTTCAGCAGTCAGCATCCATACGCAATTTATTCATAAAATGCATTTTTCTAGTTCTAGTAATTATTCTGTTTTCTACCACTGTTTTTTGGCACCTAACTTCCCGTCCCATATTCTTTCACCTAGAACAACCATTGAGGTATCAAACTGTTCAGCTTATTCAGGACGTGTGCTTGTATTTTTCTTGTTTGTAACATTTATAGTTTTTAATAAATTCAGCTTTTTTTCCATGAAAATTTCCCATTGGAATGAATGGGAAAGTCTTGAAAACCTGGTTCTCTTTGCACCCTGAATGCCTCCAGCATACATTGGGCTAGAAACTCCATTTCAACTGTATTCACTCGTGACCTAAGCAGGTATTGATGCTGTAAATATGTTCTTGATATCTGTTACAGTTTATTTTTAATCAATATTTATATTTTGTCTACCTCTCCAGTCAATCTCAATAGGGCAATGTATGCGTGGACCCCGCTCTGAGTCACGTGATCCCCGCTCTAGCTTCGTCTGACTGTGTGTTTTCCACAATCCTTCGCCGGTTTTCGGCTCTTATTCGCCCATTTTTAAGCTTTCACACACGTGATATATGACAATGGTAGAGAAAATTGTCAGGAATTGTGATTGGGATGGACAATATTTGTGGAACATCCGCTGATAGCCAAACACTGGGGATGTATACAGTAGATCGCCACATCAGCTAAACAGCTGTTCCAAGACACAGAGCTGGCTCTGCTGACTATCTGCAGTTCAATGCTTTTTATCCAAGCACACTGGACTTTTCTCAACAAGCCTGATTGAAGAAGGATTATGAGAACCAGACTGTCGTAACGTAAGCTTATATCCATTCATTTTGAATCAGGCAGTGGTTCACTTATTCCATAGCATTTTGATAGGGTGCTAATGGCTAGCGCAGTAGATACTAAATTCTTTATTTAACATGAAGCTCACAATACTTCATGTGAACTGTTTAGTTAAGGTTACACGGTTTATGTACTCAAGCAGGTGAACGCTGAATAATTTTTGAACGCTCTCATTGACTTTTTATAAGTGAATCGTGGCTCAATATCACAAATTTTACCATTTGTTTGAAAGTGACAGCTATTTATTGTAGATTTAATTGCCATCACACAAAATCATAGTTACTCTTACTAAATACAACAATCTGTTTGCTTTGTAAAATAGTTACTTCAATTTTGCCAGAAAAATATTAAATGTGAAGGAATAAACTCCACAGAAAACATTTTAGTGTAAATTTTTTCACGTATTCAACAGTTATCACAGCCATCTGTCCTTATCCTCAAATGTTTGGACTTACAGCAGAACCAGCAACCGAATCTTATAATGGTTGTATTTTCAATGTTAGAAGAAATGTTAATATCCTAAACCCTTGTATATTTGTGTTAAGTCTTGTATTCAAAATCAACAACACAATTCTGGTAGTCTGCTGAGATGATGCTTCTGGCTTTGAAGGATTCCACTTGGTGTCTTCAGTCAGGCCCAGGAACGCTGTGTCTGCAGACAGGAAACTTCCACTCTTTACTGCTGTGTGTGTGGGTGTGTGTTTTATTTAAGATTACAACAGAAAAATACATACATTACCAACAACATTTGCCAGCTGTGGGCCACCAAAGGACCATCATTCTTTGTGATATGTTGGCTGAGTATAAGTACAGTTTTAGCACTGGCACCAGATGTTAGCCTAATGTATGCCTTAATCAAGCCATGTAATAACATGTGTGAGTCTTTAATGTACTGCATTAGTTGTAAATATCAGCAGCTCCCCTCTAGTTAAACTCATAATAAAGATGAACAATTCCAGATTCATGTCTGTGTATTCTGATTTTTTCATCCTACACTCTGCAGTCTTGCACTATGTCACTCAGGTAAATTTTGCAAGTGTAAGTATTGGTCAAAGACAGAACAGCATGGAAAGGGTAATACAACCCAAACGCTGAAATTTGTTGGGGGGGTACTAAAACATTGCATCAAATTTAAGACTGTAAAAAGGCAATGGAGCGCTATCTTTTCTTCAAACAGCAGAAACTTCAGTGAACAGTTTAGCATATCCTTTCAACATTCATTAATGTATTGCTGCTCCTTTATTCCCATTTGTTTGCTTCACACACCATTCCTATCTGGTGCATGTTGAAGTCAATTTGGAATCCTGGTCTCCATTTCTTGGTCTGTGGCATCAGATCTCAGATGATTAAGTCACACAGCAGCTATAACACACACGTATGCAATTTTTCAAAAAATAGGATATAGGCTAAAATTTTGAATTGTACATCAAGACCTGTAGTGTAAAGCCAGCCAGGAAAGGATGCATAGTCAAAATGAATCTGTGAGGGAGTCTGTAAGTCAAACTTATCAATCACAACATCTTTTATCTGCAGGTGCTGTAAGGCAGTCTGCCCATTTATACCTCACATGTTGATATTCTTGGCCAGAGAATGTGTTAACGTTGCACCCATGACTCTGTTTAATGTCTCCCCCACCTTTGAGAGCCAGTGTGTTTCTCTGTAAAATCGATAATTCTTTGTTAGTTTATGAACAGTATAACATGCCCTAACCCTTTCAAACATGTTTGAAATTATCCGCCAAAAATCTAATCTGGTTTGATAGTCTGAACAGCATATGACCATAAATTCAGTGGTTTCAGCTACTTTCATAGTAGATAACCTGCTATTAGATTATCTGTGTAATTTTGAATCCCCAACAAGGTTAGCATTAGACAACTTTTTTCTGCTTGGGTTGAACTGACATTCTTACCAGTTGCTTTTTGAATTCAGGACTGTTTCTGAGCTGCTCCCCCAGGTTGTCAACAGAGTGGCATTCACCTAATGGCAGCAGATTTGGTTCATCATGCATCTGTTCCTCAGCTATAGATTTCAATGTTTGGACAGTTGTGAAAATGATTTTCATTTAGTACCTCATCATCATAATCTCTTGATTTGTTGTACAAGTGCTAGGAAGAAAAAAAGGTTTTGTTAAGTAAAATAAGCAACTTTTACTTCAATTTTCAGTGTTCAACTGCAAGCTGTATTGATTATTGTGCAGAACTACTGAGCTTTGGTTACTTTCTAATATATTTATTCTCCTTGCTTATATGTCTTACAATTGTAATGAGGTAGAATCTACTTACTTTATGCAACTTCTGAATGTCTGCATTCCCCAGGCAACCAGAAGGCCTATTTACATTTTAACAAAGCCTTGCTAGCCCACACCTGGACCCACATAGCATATCCCAAGTTCTGCCCCACCAGGGGGTGTCTTACACACACAGGGGGTCTCATCACCTGAGATGACCACTTGCCCAGTTTAGCATATTTATTGTCTCACACACACATAGGGGGCCTGCAACCCAGTCAGCCCATTTTTCTGTGTGCTTGATCAAGACCAAGTTACCACATGAGACACACACACACACACACACACACACACACACCTAGACTTTAACACATTGAAACAAGGGGAGCTCCGGTTCACACCAAATGGACAATAGGATCAAAAAGCTGTGGAATGTTGTACCTCTGTCCGAGGCGGAGCAGCCCAAGAAGATAAAATGCATTGTAAGACATGATTTGGGTTTCAGAAGTTGGTTTTCCTGCGGGAGCTCTATCTCTCTGAATCCAGCGCTGTAAGACTTGCCTGTAATCAGACTTTCAGTAAATTTTCTGTTGATTTTAAACAGTCCTCTCCTGTCTTCACTTCTCGTGCTTCCAACAAAAAAATTGGGTTAATTTCTAACGCTATCTTAATTCCTTTGTTTCTGTTTCTGTAAAGTATTAATATAAAAAATAATTAATAAAACAAATCGTTTACTCCTTCTTTTGTCTGGTTCCTTACAAGAAAAATGATCTCAAACTTCGAACCCAGTTCAGAGGGAAATTAAAGCCATCAAAAATAGACAAAGAAAATATCAATTACCAGTATGTTTCAGTTGAACCCTTAAACCAAAAATGTCCTTTTACCAAAAACTTAAATAACCAGTTCAATCCAAAGTTCAAAGTTCAAAAGTTAAAGTTCACTCCAAAAATCCAGGAAATCCAAAAAATCAAAATGACATGTCCAAAAATGACATCCAATCCAATCTCATACAGTGATACTCCAAAGCGTGAAATATGACTCACTTGGTAACAATATCCACAGCTCCACTCAAGAAAGTCTTTAGGACAGTCCAACCTGTATTCTAGTTGAAAAGAAAAGCTCACTTGCTTACCAACATTCCATGTAAAAGGATGGAAACAGTGTACATCACCACACTTGGGAGATAGATGGTGCACTGGAGGGTGTCTAGGTATGCAGGGTTACGTAACTCCACTCTATGACCCCAGCGAGTGTCCCCCGTGATCGTGCAAACTACAGCTTGGTCCGACGAGGCCACAATCCTGTCCCACGGTGATCAGCGTAGAAACGCCAACTATGCTCAATCCCATTCAACGAACCAGCCAATCTTCCAAAAAGAAAATATGAATTTCGGCATGCACCCGGTTTGGGGTTCATGTGAACTAGCAAAACAATGTTCTTGGTGCAAAGCACGGAAGAAAACATCGAGAATTAACTTCCA